ACTTTAAAACATGTATTATTAACGAATTTTGGTTTGTTCAATTACAAAATCGGTCACGTAGACTTCAATTTATTTGGCTTTTTCAGAAAAAAATATTTTCGTTTATATTTGATTTGGTTTTGAGTCGAGTTGGTTTAAAAAGTAATTGTCTAATATGTTGATGAAATTTTGATGTGACAGAATTAGCTTATGCAATGAAAGTGACGGAGAAATGTGATGTATATAGCTTTGGAGTATTAACTCTGGAAGTAATTAAAGGAGAGCATCCGGGAGATCTAGTTTCAACTCTATTAACGTCTCCACCGGACAAAACTATGTCGTTGAAAAGAATTTCCGACCATCGGCTACCTGAACCGACGCCGGAGATCAAAGATCAGATTTTAGAGATCGTGAAAGTTGCACTTCTGTGCTTACAGTCTGATCCACATTCTCGCCCAACAATGCTTTCTATCTCCAATGCTTTTTCGTAGGAACTATCCCTTATATGTGACTCTCAAGCAGAAACTGATGCCAACTACACATATACATTATTGTGCTTTCATGATTATGCGTCAATATATATGTCTGTCTTTTTGAATGTTAGTTATATGGTACTATTTTGTTTTGTTAGAGAAAAATCAAAGCTTCTTTATATTAATTAAAGAGATAATAGAAAAAAAATTGTACATGTTAATCAAAAAGTAATTTAAGAGATACATCATTTAATTTAACCAATCAAAACATTTCAATTAAAAATATATGCCATGGTGGAAACTTTTTACATATTTTCATTAATTTTTAACATAAACTCATTAATACATGTTTTAATATTTTAAACCTAACTAAATGTAATACTTTAGACATACCATAACATCTTTTTTTTTTTAAATATTAACGAGCTTTTTCAACCTGACGATAATAAAACGGCGCAACAACATGTCAACGTGAAATTGGTTGATACTGTCCGAGCAATACTAGGACCTGAGTTGTTCAGTAGGATTGAAAACAGTTTTTTCGGTCCTATTGTACAACTAGCACAGAGGAATATCACATTTTCTAGTAAGATATTCCATTTTCTGATGCAGAGGAGGATCAAGATGAAAGGACAAGACTTGTGGTTCAGGGTTTTATAAGGATTTTTAAATGATTTTTAAAGGATTTATAAGAATTTTAAAAAGAATTTTTAAAGAATTTTTTATTAGCGATTGCTGGATTTGTCGATTTGGGTAATATTTAGCGATATGCATCTCGCAAACATATGAAATATTTTTTTATAAGATTTTTTTAAAGTCTTTGTAAGGATTTTATAAAGACTTTGTTTAAGGACAAAAATTTTAAGACAGTTTTTGTTCTTCATATGAGTCTCGTTAGATTTGTTTGTGGAATATCTGTGGACAAAAACAAATTTATAAAGGTTTTTAACAGTTTTTAAAGAGTTATTATTATATATAATTGACATGTGTTTTCAACAACTTTTCAGATGTATCAGAGTCAGACAGACGATGAAATCATGAAAATGCCAAAACAGGTTTAGAAACCTGGTTTTGAACCTGACGATAATAAAACGGCGCAGCAACATGTCAACCTGAAATTGGTTGATATTGTCCAAGCAATACTAGGACCTGAGTTGTTCAGTAGGATTGAAAACAGTTTTCTCGGTCCTATTGTACAACTTGCACAGTGGAAT